TAAGATTGTTCCATTGTTTTCATGATGACATTAAAGTAATATGAATGAAAGACCTTGGTTTTACTGTTACAAAACCTTTCATTAATTATTAACATGTTTTTATAATTAAAGTACATAACAGTAAAAAAATGTAATGTAAATGCGAAAATGCATAAATTCCAAAAATAAAAATGCAAACTGTGCAATTCAAAGACAAACATAAAAGTATGAATGCAAAATGGAAATGCAAAGATGTAAAAAGTAAGAATAAGAATGTAAATGCATTTATGAAAAGGTGTTACTTAAGAGTGATCATCTTAGAACAGATTTCATTGAACACAAAAGTTTCGGTACATCGAACAAAACTTTTACATGTAGGGGACAACTTTTAGTCCTAACTTCAACAAAACTAAATTAGTCTCCATTCATGCTCAAAAAGTTGAGTCTTCAGTCTGTTTCATCTCCTTGTAAAATCAGCTAAATCTATCATTTAAGAACCATATTGCTTGTCTGGACTGCAACTTCTTCTATGACATTGTCTTTCATCTTCTGTGTCACTTCTCGAAGTTGCTCATTTTCCTTTGTAAGAGAACCTTTTTGTCCAAGAAGTTCTTGAACAAGATCCTCATATATATTGCAGCTCTTTTTCAGCTTGGTGACCCCTGTTATCCATTCTTCTGGGGTACTTCCTATGCCAGCATTTTGAAAGGCTTGACTGACCTTCTGGAAGTCTTCACGTATGGTTTCCATTTTGGTGCTCAATTTATCGTTTTCAATCTTCAAATGACGTAATTGAGCTTTAAAACTCAGCAAATCTTCTTCTCTCTGGGCGCCCCTACTGATATTCTTACCTTTGAAGACTTTTGGTATTAATCTATCAGGACCCTCGGTTACCAAATTAGGTCGATCATTTACCATAAATTGTAAGGTTCCATGATCCAAAAGACTTTGGACTCGACGTTTGAAGGCAAGATAACTCTCGATGGTATGTCCTTGAGCTCCGGCATGATATTCACAATGAACGTTGATGTCATACCAATTTGGATATGGAGGTTGGAACGGTTTTATATAATATGGATCCACTTCTCATGCTTCAAGTAGCTTTTCATACAAATCTTTATATGATATAGGTATAGCATCAATATGAGAACCACCTTTTATCTTGAATTGAACCTGAGTTTTAGATATCGGGAGCATACTAAACTTTGATGATTTCAGATTACATGATTTCTCCTTTTCTCTGGGAGCTTGTACAGTCGTCACCATTTCTTTGGTATCTCCAGACGATTGGTAAATACGAATGATGACTGTCTGTAATTTCTCCAATTGGTTAAGATCCAAAGTCCCTTGCATATATGAAATTGCAGAATTATCTTCATTAAGCTTTCTCTCTTTCTGTGCAGGAATCTTTTCTCTTTTGGCCAAAACAGATACTCTATCCATCATTTTGGACACCTGCCCTCTTATTTCTCGTATCTCTTTTTGCTCTTCAATGGGCATACAATCTTTGGGTGCATAGCTCTTCTCTATCTTCAGAGTTCCCTCAGGATGTCTTTTCTTGGCCGCATCAGATTTTGTTTGATCATAGAACTTTTTGTCCATTTATGATTTCTTTCTAATTTGATGAACAGTCTTTTCAGTTAACACCTTTTGGTCATGATCATGCAATGCAAACAACAGAAAATAATTTAAACAAATTAGAGCAAAAATAACATACATGGGAAAATAAGAAAAAATGAAATGGTTAATACCAACTAATTGAAAGAAAAAATTTATTTATCATGGCATATAATAAAATCCTAACCTCATGCTTTCTAGTTCCATGCTTTGTTTGGAAAAATTAACCTAACCGCATGATTTCTAGTTCGCATGCATTTATTCAGGGAGAAAAAATAATAATAAATTAAATAAATTAAAAGCAGAGCTTATTTCTCCTTTGTGTACACCTATGAACAGAGGTTCAGTACTGTCTTAGATTAGGTGAATTTCTAGGGTTTATTATATGCAGAATTTCAGTTCTAGGAGTAAAGGTACTCGAATTGTCCTTGTTGATGTCCCCTTGGGCTGTCAACCCTCAATCCTAGTCCATTACAGACTTAAACGGATCGAGTTCAATTCGAGGGGACACATTTCTCTATACCTGACACGGAGAATAAATTCCCACGAAGACATAGAGCATATGAACCCCGAAAGTTACTTGCTAGGTCTGACACGGAGAATAAATTCTCACGAAGACGTCGCTTTCACTCCCACTTAAAAGGGACAAACTCAATTATAGAGTTTTATGTTATGCAATGCAAGTGTTGTGTGTGAGGAGAAATGTTCAAACCTCTAACAGAAAAATAAAATAATGAAATAAAATATTTGCAAATAAAATGAAATATTAATAAGAAAATATATAAATATTATGAAAATAATAAGTATATATAAAAATTTTGAAAAGAAAGAATGTATGAATTTTTAATTTTTAATTAATAGAGACAATTTATAATTGATTTTAAAGTTTGACCAGGTCCCCAGCGGAGTCGCCAAGCTGTCGTAACCGGTTTTCGTCCGGGCACGAAAATTTTAAATTTGGCGGGAAAATTTATGTGAATAAATGGTTTTGAAAATAATTTGGGAGTCGCCATCGGCCTTTTAGATCAGGTAGGTCGAATACCTAAAAATTATTTTTTTAAAAGAGTTTTAAGAAAACACCAATAAAAAAATGAACTGATCTGCGTTTATAACCAAAAATTCGTTCTTTTTAATAATAAAAAGGGATTCGTGGTCGGTTACGTTTAGGGAAGGATTAGCACCCCTACAACGCCCAAAATTGGTACTTTTTAATTATAAATTGTCTCTATTATTAAAATTTAAAAAATTCAAAATATATTTAATTCATAATTCTATTATTTCAAATAATTTTAAGAAAATAAGATATTTACTTATTTAGAAATATCAGAAAAGGGCTTCTAGGTGCTTTAAGACAGCTCTTTTCTTTAATATTTAAAAATAAATCTCAAAAACCTTTTATTTTAATATAGTAAGATATTTATTTATTCAAAATATCAGAAAAGAGCTTCTAGGTACCTTAAGACAACTTTTTTCTTTGATAGTAAAAATAAATAAATATCAAAATATGATTATTTTTCTTAAAAGTAATTTATAAAATTAAATTTATAAATAGGAAAATAGAATAAATAAATAAATTATATATTTATAAGACTATATATATTGACATAATTAATAAAGAATAATAATAATAATAGTAATGATAATTAAATATATATGAACATAAATATATAAAGATAACATATGATTAAATAATGTTTAAAATACAATTAAAACATGGTATGAAAAAATAAAAAATAATAAAGCTTGTAAAATAAATGAAAATATTAAACTTAGGGACTAAATTATAATCTAATAAAATTAAATACCTAATTCATAATTAATTATTTAAAATTATAGGGATTAAACATGCTATTTTCCTTATTTATTAATTTGGTGACTAAAATATAATTATAAAAAAATTTGAATAACAGATTAAAATAAATTAAAAATATATACTCGGAATTAAAATATGATTTATTAAAACTAAAGGACTAAATACGTATTTATCCTAAATATATTATTTAATAGAAAGGACTAAAATAAATAAATCTAAAATTAAAGAACCAAATTATAAAGATCTAAAATTGGGTTCAGTGACTAAAATATAAAGTTTACAAATTCAGAGGACTGCGGAAAGGATTTAACCTTTACCAAATTACACACAGGTCCTCCCTTAAACGACGCCGTTTAAGATAGGGTATAAATACCCTAGGCTGGTTGGCCCGAAGGGCCAGCATCTCATTTCTCCTTTCTTTCTTCTCTCTCTCAAACTGAGAGAGAGATTTCTCTCTCGCCTCTCTCTAGGTTTCCCTCACCGGAGGGAAACCGGCAGCCATAGGCCACCGTACTCCGCCACCGGCCACCGCCGCCGGCCACCGTAACGGTGGTCGGAATTCACCAAAAACACCCCCAAAGCGTAGATCTAAATGCCCTAAGACCGATTCCGGTCTTTGTTTTCCCTAAAAGACTCCTAATCGGAGTAAATATACGAAAATACCTTCGGTATTTTCTGTTCTCCGGCAATGTTTAGTGCTTCCGACGGTGGTCAAGGCTCCAAGGGTAAGTTTCTTTTCTTCTTTCTTTGTTTTCTATTTTTTTTTCTGGTTGTTGGTTGCTGTTCGTTTGTGTTCTTCTCCTCCTCTCTTTTTTTTTCTGTTCTATTTGTTGTTGTTCTCTGCTCTCTTCTTCTTTCTTGCAGGTGTGGTGGCTTTTATAGCCACCACCGAGGCTCTCGTCGGACCGGTCCCGAGAGGGAAGCTTCGGTGAGTCACCAAACTATGTGGTGACTCACCCCATAGCTGCGACGTGGACGGTCAGAGTCGTGGCAGCAGAGCTTCTGGAATGTTCGTCGGAGGCGTCGTGGCAGTACTGAAGCGTCGGCAACGGCGAGATGAGACACCTGGAAGAGGTGGCGCCGCGTGGTCCCTAGGGTTATGATACCCTAGGGTTTCAAGCTGGAAGCATCTGGAGACCGTTGGATCAAGGCCAGATCCAACGGTGATGAGCTAAGGCGGCTGAGAGAAGATTCTGAAAACCCTAAAAGGGTTTTGGGTCATGTTTGGGCCTGGATGTAACCGGGTTGTGATTTGGGCTTTGTAATATTTAAATAATAAATAATATTACTATTAATAATAATAATAATAATAATAATAATAATAATAATAATAATAATAATTTTAATAATAATAATTTAAAATGAAAAAATTGATTTCTACAGTCACCTAGATCAAAAGAGGGGAAAACATGGTGTAAACATTGTGTTTGCAGTTCAGAAATCAAACTTACTGCTAAAGGCATCCAAAAAAGATGGCAAAACTTCAAGCTATAATATTTTAGCACAGCATGATGGTAGGAAACATAAGCAATTGAGACAGTGAGAAACTAAACAAAATATGTAGGTATAAAATAACATAATCAAACTTACTTCTTCACACTCCTTCATCTTCTTCTGTGCTCCATCAAATTCATAGTTGACATAAACACATGCCAAAAACTCTGTAATGGGATCTTTGTAAGAGCACTGATCTTGCTGGATAACCTTGATAAATTCTTTGAATTGAGGTATTCTCCTTTTGTTGACAATAAAAGCAGTAGCCAAGTATCTTAAGAGATGAGGAGCACTGGTTTGAATAGCATTTAGATACCTGGAAAGAAGTGAAATCACCTTGTGAGATAAGACAACTACACAAAGTGGACAGCGAAAACAAACTTGTAAACCCATAGTAAACAATAATGCATGAACAAACAAAAAAAGAAATAAAATTATATAGCCACAAAGATAATTGTTATGTTTAATTCCATAAACAATCTCCCTTAGGAAACAAAACTCCAACTATAAGCGGTCCGGCGGACATCTGACCTGACATTAACCTTGAAACTTTGGCCACATGTTTTGCAAATTATATGGCAAGCTGCATATTAATTTCCCATATACCATGCATTGGCAGAAGGAATTTCATAAAGCATCTAAACATGTTTCACTGTATTGCAATCCAAAATCAAAGCATATGAACACATCAGAAGCTTGAAACAGAAGTCATGACATAAAATACTTAAGAATACAAAAAGAATGAACGGATAAGCACTAATATTATGCGACAATGTGGTCTTATGAACTACACAACTAATGCAAGTAGCAACATCAATAACAAGATATTGAAATTTTAGTATTAGTCGTCAAAGTGGCATACTTGTCTTGGTTAAATAGGTCAATGATTTGAGTTCTTCCATTGTCATGGTTGAAAAAGATGAAGAGGCTCCAATGCATAAGCCATGTTCTACTCTGAACTTGGTTCAAAGGTGATGAGAAACTCTGCAGCAAGACAAATTCCAAAGAAAAATAAATGAGTCAAAGAATCAAGCTAAAGAAAATCATCAAAATAAAAACCGTATAATCAATCAGGCTTATAACAAAAACCTTGGAATCGATTATTTCTTTCAAACAGTTGAGTTCTTCGAGAGCAATATCCCAGTTTTGCATAAGTATCTCAGCTGCCAGCTTCCCCCAGAAAGCACTCAAACTCCTTTCGCTGTTAGTACATAAAGCTCGATACTGATGCAGATAATCAGCAGCACCCGATTAGTTACCACACTCAAACTGGAACTTAGGATACTGATATAATGCGTCTATCTGATCTGGACCAATCTGTTAGAAGTAATTTTCTCCACCATTAATTTTTAAAAAAATCTTTTCAGAAATAACAACAACGAGGATGCTAGAATTCCACATAACAAATTCACACATAATAGTTCTTGCTTTTGCACCCAAAAGAAGAGAAAAGGTCATTGAACATCTGAAGATTATAAAAACAACTTTAAATTCAACGAAGAAAAAAAAAAGCAGACCTGGTAACGGTCATTGACCATCTGAAGGTGTTGCGGAAGACGGCTATCGTATACAGCAAAATCGCAACTGCTAATTTTAGAAAATAAAAATGAAGATAAAAGAGACACAAAATTTACGTGGAAAACCCCTAAATAATTTAGGGTAAAAACCACGGGCAACGGTAGAAGAATTTCACTATGAGAAAATAGGAATTACAACTTCTCTCTATCTACCAAGGAAAAACAATGTTAATTCTCTCTTGATAAAAAGGAGAAAACAACTCTCAAGAAACTCTCTAAATTCTCTCTAGTATTGGAAGAAAGCTAGAATGCTTTGGGATGGTTTTGAAGCTAAATGAGCTAGGGTATTTATAGTTGAAGCTTTAAGGACTAATTTGTAAATACCTTAAATTACAATGACTAATTGCATAGTTTTACCATCCACATTTTCAACATTTTAGGTGGAATTGTTTTTCAATCAAACTTTCGGTGCCTAACAATTTTTTTTCAACAATTTGCACCAAATAGTTTGGCCATTAATTTGGCCACTTATCTTGACTTTTCAACAATCTCTCACTTGAAGATTTGATTGGAACAATCATATCTTCACATCATTCTTTCTACCTTGTACCTTCATGTTGCTTACATCTCTAACAGGCCAAAGGAGGATCGACACCAAGTAAATTTATCGGCATTTATCGCATTCATCATGAAATCTGCTATGTTGTCTTTGGTATGGATTTTCTGCATATCTATCGTCCCTTCTTCCACCTTTTCACGAATGAAATGGTACTGAACTCGTATGTGCTTTGTCCTTGAATGAAATGATGGATTCCTTGCTAGATGCAAGGCGCTTTGACTGTCACAAAACAGAGAGACATATCGTCCCTTCTTTACTGGCTTGTGTAGCTGCTACATATTCTGCCTCTGTTGTGGATGTAACTACAACTGACTGCAATTTTGAAACCCAGCTTACAGCTCCACCAGTAACTTTGAACACATATTCTATTGTAGATTTGTTTTTATCCAAATCCCCTGCATAGTCAGAATCTACATAACTATTGATTAGTAAGTTTGATCCTCCGTAACATAATGCAATATTTGAGGTCCCTTTGATGTATCTCAGGATCCTCTTTACTGTATTCCAATGCTCTTTGCCTGGATTCGCCATGTACCGACTAACTACTCCCACTGCTTGTGCAATGTCTGGTCTTGTGCATATCATAGCGAACATTAAGCTTCCCACTGCTGATGTATACGATACTCGAGACATCTCCATCCTCTCTTCTTCACTGCTAGGACTCATACTGGAGGATAATTTGAAGTTAATAGGAAGAGGGGTAGAAATTGGCTTACAATCCTGCATGCTAAATCGTGACAAGATTTTCTTCAAGTAATTCTTTTGTGAAAGCCAAATCTTCCTATTACTTCTGTCTCGGTGAATTTGCATCCCTAGAATCTTGTTTGCTGATCCCAAGTCCTTCATTTCAAATTCCCTAGCCAGTTGTGCCTTCAATTCTTCAATATAATCTTTGTTGGGTCCTGCAACCAACATGTCATCCACATACAACAACAATATAACAAAATCGTTATCACCAGACCTCTTGAAATAAGCACAAGGGTCTGCATTAAGTCTGTTGTATCCAAGGCACAAAATGAAGGAATCAAATCTCTTATACCAACACATCGGCGCCTGCTTTAGACCGTAAAGAGATTTGTTCAACCTGCAAACCAAGTTCTTCTTTTCTTTTTCTTCAAAACCTTCAGGCTGGAGCATATAAATCTCTTCTTCAAGATTTCCATGAAGAAAAGTTGTTTTAACATCTAGTTGCTCTAGATGTAAGTTCAATGTAACACACATTGCCAAAACTACTCGAACTATTGTTAGTCGAACCACAGGAGAAAATATTTCATTGAAATCAATACCTTCTTTTTGAGCATATCCTTTGACCACCAGTCTTGCACGATACCTCTCCACTTGATCATCACCATTTCGCTTGATTTTGAAGACCCATTTGTTACATATTGGCTTCCTTCCTTGTGGTAGTGACACAAGGTCCCATGCATTATTTTTATGAAGGGCTTCAATTTCTTCTTGCATCGCCATCATCCACAGTGAAGCATCTGAGCTGTTTATTGCCTCCTGGTATGTTGATGGCTCACCGTCCTCTGTTAAAAGGCAGTATGCAATATTACCTTCTATAACATAATATGAGTGCCAATTGGGACGTCTTCTCACACGATCTGATTGACGAGTTGTTGGAGCTTTAGAACTCTCTGGTTCTTGTTCATCATGTGCTGGTTCTGCTTCTGAAGAATCTCCTTGTTCAACCTCCTTTTCCACGTGTATCTGTGTAGTCTCTAACTTTTCAGTGCTATCATCATCTTATTTTCTTTTTAGTTTATCTTCTACAAAGATAACATCCTTGCTGATGATCACTTTGCGGGCAGTGGGATCCCACAAACGATACCCCTTGACTCCATCAGGATACCCCAAGAATTTGCATTTCCTGGATTTTGGATCCAGCTTTGAAATTTCTTGGGAGTTGTACATCACGTACACTATACTTCCAAATACATGGAGGTTTGAATAATCAGCTGGTTTTCCAGTCCACATCTCCATTGGTGTCTTCAGCTCTATTGCAGTTGATATAGCTCGATTCACTAAATAACAGGCGGTATTGACTGCTTCTACCCAGAATGATTTTTCTAGGCCTGCATCTCTCAACATTGCTCTTGTTCTTTCTAACAAGGTTCTGTTCATCCGCTCTGCCACTCCATTTTGTTGAGGAGTGTTAGCCACTGTGAACTGTCTTTTGATGCCTTCTTTCCTGCAAAAGTCATCAAATTCTTCGCTTGTGTATTCTCCTCCATTATCTGTTCTGAAACACTTGATCTTATTTCCATAATCAAGTTCCACCCGCGCCTTGAAGTTTTTGAAAGTTGAAAATACTTCTGACTTCTTCTTGATAGGGTACACCCAACATCTCCTGGAGTAGTCATCAATAAATGAGACAAAGTATTTTGCTCCACATAGGGATGTAACTGGTGCTTGCCATACATCAGAGCGAACCAATTCTAGAACACTTTTACCTCTAGAATTTGATTTGTTGAATTTCAACCGGTGCTGTTTACTTGTTATGCAATGGTCACACAAAGGAAGTGTTACCTTTGTTAAGTCTGGAAGTAGGTTTTGCTCCACAAGGACTTTCATTCCTTGTTCTGACATGTGTCCAAGTTTCTTATGCCATAGCATTGCAGAATCTGAACTACATGAGGCAACAGAGGCTTCAACTTCTAGCAAAGTCTCTCCCTTCAGCATGTACAAGTTTGCTGCTATCTTTTCGCCTTTCAGCACCACAAGCGCTCCACGGAACACCTTCATGATTCCTTTCCGTGTCTCAATCTTGCTTGCATTATTATCCAACAATCCGTAGGATAATAAATTTTTCTTCAGGCCTTTCACATGCCGTACATCTCGAACAACTTTAATTGTTCCATCATACATCTTCAATTTGATGGTTCTCATGCCAATGATTTCTAAGGCATGATCATTGCAACTATACACAGATCCTCCTGAGACAGGTTCATAATGATGGAACCATTCTCTTCTTGAGGTCATGTGAAGTGTTTGCAGTATTGCCTTGTGGATTGGAGTTTTTATTTAGACTCCTACAATCCTTCTTCAAGTGACCATTCTTTCCACAGTTGTAACACTTTAAATTCTTCTTGCTCCTCGACTTCGATCTACCATGTTTGTGACTGCTGCTTTGGCCACGTTCCGTTGATCTCCCTCTCATCATTGTCAACGCTTCTACTTGTTGCAGATTTACTTGTATGTCTTCCTTGTTCTTGCGCCGATTTTCTTCTTGTAGAACAACAGCTGCAACATCATCTTCGACAAACTGGTGACATTACTATTTGTCAAGTTGATGATGAGTTGATCATACGAATCAGGTAGACTTTGAAGTAGAAGTTCAGCACGTTCTTGTTCTCCTATTGTACATCTTAGGGATGTAAGCTGAGAAAAAGTGTTCAGCGTGTTTAAGTGCTCCGTCACTGAAGTAGATTCTGGCATACGAAGAGTATACAATTTCCTCTTAAGGAAAATTTTATTGTGCAGCGATGTGGCCTCGTACAATTTGGTGAGATGATCCCATATCTCCTTAGCTGTCTTCTTCTCCTCGATGCTTGACAATACTTCATCTGCTAATGCTAGATGAAAGTTTGCCATAGCATTCCCGTCCATCTCGTTCCATTTGATGTCATCTGCGAAATCCACCGGCCTTTCATTGATAGCCGCTAGACACCCGTCTTTCCTTAGGATAGCCTTCATCTTTAATTTCCACAATGAGAAATTTCTCTCATTGAACTTTTCAATATCAAATTTCGTTGCCATAGCTTCTTTTACGGATAGTTCCCACTATTTCACTATCGTGAATAGTTCTCTGGAACCTTCAAAGAATGGATAATAACTTCTTACTTTCTTATATTGGAGGATCCACCTTTTGGTGGCAACCACAAAGACAATAAGCAGATATTACACACTCTAATCTGGCTCTGATACCAATTGTTGCGGAAGACGGCTATCGGATAGAGCAAAATCGTAACTGATAATTTTAGAAAATAAAAATGAAGATAAAAGAGACACAAAATTTACGTGGAAAACCCCTAAATAATTTAGGGTAAAAACCACGGGCAACGGTAGAAGAATTTCACTATGAGTAAATAGGAATTACAACTTCTCTCTATCTACCAAGGAAAAACAATGTTAATTCTCTCTTGATAAAAATGAGAAAACAACTCTCAAGAAACTCTCTA